TAGGACGTCTGACAAAAGGATGTGCTCTGAACAGGCCCAGCTGCCTCTGCCCCAGAGTTAGTGCCCACATGCATGTGTGCCACACACGGTAATGCTGAATAATCACTGGTATATGTTAGCACTGTCATTTAGGAGGTGTGCTGATTGTTCTGCTGTACTCTCTTCCTCACATCAGCCTCCTGAGCAAGATGCTTCTCTTGTTATTTGAATTTAGGAAAATGAGATTTGTAGAGGTTAAATATAAACAGCCTGTCCAAAGATGCACAGCTCTTCAGTGGCAGAGCTGAGATTTGATCTTGGGTGTGTTTATATTACTCTGAAAGCACTATGAGGTCCCTGCATAAGAATTTCAGGCTATCAGGGAGCAGTGTCAGAGAAAACCAGACCTGTCTTTTGAGAAGGGGCTCTAGACTGCTGTTTTTGTTTGGTTTTATTTGTTTGGTACCAGGGAAGAACATAGGACCTTGCATTTGGGAGTTAGGCGCAGTACCTCTGAGTTAAATCCCCAGCCCCAGGCTACTGTTAAATCATGACTTTCCTAGTTATACAAAAGCTTTTTTCTCTATAACCTACATTCTCTTGGTTCAAGCAAATTTTGGGAGGAAGCGTCACATCTATTTAAGGTTACAGCTCCTGCCCAGGTTTGTAGATCTTTTTGTGTTTTCCTAAAACATAGCTCCAGTCAAAGAAATACAGCACACATTTCTGAGAAAATTGTACTCTAGCTTCTAGAATGGCACCTCATGGTTTGTCAGTATACAGAGGCCTCCCCAGACCAGCCTTCTACCTGCTCACACAAGTGACGATTTTTCTGGTCTGGGCCAAACCTTTGCCATGGGGTATTTCTGTACACACACACACACACACACACACACACACACACACACACATGCACGCATGTGTGCATAAAATTACTCTGATTCACAGATGCAGTCCCAGTAATGTTTCTCCAGGAATGCAGTAAGAATTACATAGCATCACCTGTGATGGCTTCTCACTGGAAATGTTTAAGCTGAATCTGAACCAGCCTTTTGCATTAACTCATTTCTGTGAAGCAGACCAGAAGGAAAAATGTGACATCATGAGGAAATAGACAAGTCCATTGTTGAAAATTCTGTAAAATAACTAACCTAGTATCTCCCAACAGTTGACACCAGGAGAAAGAAAGAGCAGGGTTAGAAAGGAAAGACTATTCTTTTCCTGAAACTAACTACATATAACACCTGAATCTTGATTAAGTCATGGTTTTGAGAAAAAATTACTATAAACGTGGGGTGGGGTAGGGAAATCTGAGTATGGACAGCATATTTTATATAAAGGGATTATTGTCACTTTTCTTGGGTATATTTATTGTGACTAAGTAGGAAAATATCCTCATTTTTAGAATGTGTATGCTGAAATATTTAGGGATGGAGTAGTAAGACATGAATAGCTCATTTTCAAATTGTTCAGAAAAAAATATATGTATGATGTGGGTGAGTGGGTTGGGTTTGGGGAATGCGGACATATGTTGAATCTGGGTGTTGGATATATGGTTGCTCATTGTTGGTTCTTGTCAGCTTGTATCTGCATTTAAAATTTTCACAGCAGAGTGAAAAACCAGAACCAAGGAAAGTAAGCAAGGTAGTGTCCTTGAAAACACTGTCCTGGCCCATCCCTAGGTGGGTGTGCTGCTGCTCCCCACTGGAGAGCTGGGCTGTGTGCTGTAGCTGTGACTGACGCCCTTCAGTTCCCTTGGCCTGCTAGGCAGAGGCGCTCTGTGCTCCTAGGTGCCAGTAATGTTGTCAGGGGCTTCACATGTGCTTTCCTCCCTTCTGACTGACTGCCTAAGAGGGAACCTTCTGATCCAAGTGACAGACCCTGGCTCAGCTCTGCTTGGCACCTTCACCCCTTTTTTGTTGTGGCTTTGTGAAGAATTTATACAGTGTTATGACTACTGCAGATCAGCCTTTTATAGACAGCAGCTTCCTCTCTGTTTCACTATGATATTATTGTCGTTTTCTGCATGACTCTCATTTGTCTTTTTTTTTTTAGTTATTTGCTAAAAGGCTTTACTTTGTGGATCTTTGTGGCAATCATAGCATTATTTGCTGAAAGTCAGAGGGCTGGCCAGGTTACCCACAGTCGTCAGGGATGTGATGGAAAGGTCAGATGTCCCAAAGGGAAGTGTATTTAGTGGCCGTTACGTGAGATGGCAGCTCTGGCCTGGTTTATGGTGAGCTGCATGAAGCAGAATTACAGTGAATAGCAGGGAGTGCTCCTGCTGAGGAGCGCCAGGCCCAGTGTCCCTGCAGTTACCCAGGATCTATAATGAAGATCTGTATTTCCTCTGAGGGGATGTTGTCTCAGCAGGTGCCTGCCTGATACGTCACAGAGTACAGACTTTTCTAGAAGCCCCTGCTGTGTTTCCAGATTTTTCCTTGTCCCATCACCCTCATGATTTTGCTAGGAGCTCTGGGAGGCTGCAGTGCTAGTCATTTGTCCTTGTGTGTCGTGGCTGACCTCTGATTGCAGTAGTTAGCAGACACACAGGAAAGACCAAACACCTTATCTCCCAGTTCAAAACAGAGAGGAATGAGGGAGACCTCAACCCATCCCTTCTGGTGTGGGTGTGAGAATTTGGACAGGGGAGACATGGATATATTCTGAGCTTAAGCATGTAGGCCCTTACATAATCCTACTTTAATTTTGGCATGGACCATCTTACTGAGCCTGTGTGCCCCATCTTCCCCGCTTCTGAAGATTTGCAGCTTTTCTTTTTGGAAATTGAAATCTGATTGCATTCCTGGCTCTGAGCAGAGTTTGTTGGTCAGGCATTGGATACTGGCATAGCCATATAAGAGAAATCACCCTAGAGGTTATAACAATCCTACAGTTGAGCAAGGGATAAATATGCATCTTCACAGGGACAAATGGCCATTTGTCAGAAGGGGTAGGGATAGAGCTGGGCTGGACATAACAGCAAATTAGCTTTCTAATCACAGGGGAGGCTTGGTAGAAGCCTCAGTTTCTTCTAAAAGGTTGGATTTCCACCTGTTGGTTCACATGTTCACAGCCTGTACTCAGTCTCATACAGAATAATCATTTTCATTACAAACTACCTTCTGTGAAGCTCTTGGTATTCATAACATTTTCTCAAAAGGCTTTTCTTTTTGGTAATATTTGGGAAAGAGGTAAGAAAGAGGGAGTGTGAGTAGGTTATGTGTTCCTGTTTAGTGCCAGTTGAGCTTGGCAAATGGATTAGGTAGTGGGGAAACAGGAAGGAAGACCATAACTTGATGCTGAAGTCCACCAGGGAAGCTTAGACACGAGGAATCTTATCATCCATCTCAAGTAGCCTTGGCTTAATCTTTGAGGGCAGTGGCCAGGTCTCTGAACTCCTCTGTTCCATTCTTAGCTGACCAGTATCATTAATGTCAGGGAGAAGCTTCCCAAGGAAGGGAGTTGATCTTTCTGAGCAGTTATTATGCTAGTTTATAACCCTCTTTTGAGGAAGGAGCCCTACCTACATGCTTGTGGTAGGTGAGGGAGCTCTGCGAAGTTGCACACAGACATGGCCAGGTGACCGAGTGGGGACTCCAGCGCTCTTAGTGGGACAGCCCACTTCACCCTTGCTCAGTTCTCACACAGGCCGTTAACACAGAGTGACAACCAAGTCCCTGTGTTTCTAGAATTATGCTTGCATAGCAACTCTTGTAATGACAGGGATGTGAGGAGTTTTAAACACAATGTTTCATAAGACAAGCAGAGTCACCACTCATGTGGATGCTGGCCAGCAGTCAGAGCACAGATGTGTGCTGAGGAATGGGCACTTGAAGCTTGATGCTAACTTCCTCTTCTGTGCTTCTTGTCTCACTGGACACAGCATGCCAGGGGCTCTTCATTGTCCTCATGCAGCTGAGATGACTTTGCTTAGGAAGGTCCAACTGCGCACTTCTGCCTGACTTGGGAGGGGACAGAAGGGGGTTACAGAGCAACACTGCCAGCCTCAGACTCTGGGCTCTGGCTCCGCTGAAGGGGGTTGAGCCGCTAGGGCATAGTCCTCTGGTAATGAAGTCATTTGTCAGGGGAATAGAATGAGCCCTCTGTGAAAGCAGAAACAATGGGCATGTTGAGTTCCAGACCTGGGGGAACTGAAGCTAGGTCAAAGGCACATGTGAAGAATTGGGACAATTCAAGGGACACATTCGTCATGGTGTTTTTGCTGTCAACAAGTCACTAAGCTGTAATGATTCTTGCATAGTTAATGGTCATTAAGACCAGTTTTGAATAATTTTCCCAAATCAAAAGCTCTTTTTTTGGAGACAGGCCCTCACTATGTAATTCTGGCTGGCCTCGAACTCACTGCGATCCTCCAGCCTCAGCCTCTGGAGTGCTGGGGTTACAGGCGTGAGCCATTATGTCTGGCTAGGAGCTCTTGACTTGTTTGTTCTTTTTTCAGTTTTAATTAGTATAAATTATTTTGTCCAAAGTGGCAAGAGAAATGGATTAAGACAGGTGTATACGGCAGTTTTATTTTCGTGGGAGTATTTCCTGTTACATGTCTCACTTACCAAGGAAGCACACTCCATAGTGATCGGCTAGTGATTCCACTTCCAGCCGTGAAAGCTAGACAGTTACTCTCTACTGTTGAGCAAAGCTTCTGGAACGAGTTTTCCAGAACATCAGCCAACGTAGCCAAGGTCCACGGATCCCTGCGCCGCCGCCTTTTCACGTCAGGTCCCGGAGGCAGCAGCAGAGGCGGCACAGAGGACCCCGGGCCACGCTGCCTCCGGGGCCAGCCATGCTGGGGTTCCGAATGCGTGGTCAGGGAGAAGGGGAAAAAGTTACCCGAGCCAGCGCCCGCAGACGGCCCTGCGTGCTGACCCGGATCGGGGAACTCGATAGATGGCAGAACTACTAGGGGCCACGTGGGCGGAGCGCCGAGTGGCGGGCTGTGGGCGGGGCCTGGCTGTGGGCGGGGCCGGCAAGCACTCACGCCCCGCTCTGCTCTGCCCTAGGTGAGGCCGCTTCGGCCCGTCTGCTGGACCAGGACGGGTATCACAGCTCCAATGCCGCCCGCCCGGGCCCGTGCTGCTGCCGCCGGCCACGGGAGTGAATGACTGTGCCACTTCTTTCCCGGGCCGCTGGCGCCGCCTCCCGCTCCACCAGCCGGCTGTTTTGATTAACCCCCTGGACTGCTTCTGTGAACTTCAATATGTGTCATGTCATTGTCACCTGCCGCTCCATGCTCTGGACCCTCCTGAGTATTGTGGTGGCCTTTGCGGAGCTCATCGCCTTCATGAGTGCAGACTGGCTGATCGGGAAGGCCAAGAGCCGCAGCGGAGGGGCCGAGCCGACGGCAGGGGGCGCCCCCGAGCCCCCGCACCCCACGCTGGGCATCTATGCTCGCTGCATCCGCAACCCTGGGCTGCAGCACGTACCGCGCGACACGCTCTGCGGGCCTTATGCTGAGAGCTTCGGAGAGATCGCCAGCGGCTTCTGGCAGGCCACCGCGATCTTCTTGGCCGTGGGAATCCTCATCCTCTGCGTGGTGGCCTTGGTATCCGTCTTCACCATGTGTGTGCAGAGCATCATGAAGAAGAGCATCTTCAACGTGTGCGGTCTCCTGCAAGGAATTGCCGGTGAGTGGGGTGGGGAGGACGCAGTCACTCTGAAGACGCCTCCCGAAGAGCTTTTCTCCCAGCCTTCTGCTCCCAGAAGCGTGCGCCTGTGCTGGGCCACGTGGTTCCCTTTTCCTTGTTTCGCGAACTCCCCTCTCAGCAGGAAGATCCAATCTTGCTCTCTTCCACTCACTGCTTGCTTTCTCTTGTCTACCTATTGGGTTTTGAGAACCTGCCCCTGCCTGCTTCCCCCTGTATTAAGGCACACTTCCAAGTGGGCACATCTCCTTGAGAGCCAGTCCAGCCTGTAGCCAGCATGCTGCTGAAAAGGAATGAGTGTCACTGGGCCCCACCCCTCCCCCCAGTGAGTTAAGCTTTGGCCCAGGAAGAGGCTGGGAAGGAATTCCTATCAGCTGTTCTGTTTAATGATGCTCTGTTTAAATTGTATCTTCTGGAGCCTGAGAATGTGCACACATAGAAAATGCAAGCTACTCTTCCACTTTCTGGGAACTCCTCACTACTGAGCTTGTTAGACAGGTGTGGAAAGTGCCAGCTCTTTTTAGTGATCCCCAGGGGCAGGCTGTGACCTACAGGAAGAGATCTAGTCCCCCACTCCCCTAGGATTTGCCCAAGGGTTGCAAGGTGAATGTGAACCCAGAGGACAGCAGTCTGTCCTTGCTCTGAGTTAGAAGACGTCGCCTTAAAGTAGAATACACTATTACTTTCATTTTTCATTGGAAAAAAAGTATTCACTTTTAAGCCAAGGTATTTAGTAATCTCAAGCCTAACAAGAGGAGCAGGAATCCGACAGCCTTAAATGAAGGACACAGGTGGCTCCTCTTCAGTGAATGGGAGCACACACCCCATCTAGTGAAAATAAGCACTGATCTGGGCTGCAAGGAAACAGACCCCTGATGAATGAACTCTCCTCAGCCTACAGCAAAGTTAGAGCTAGCTCAGCTGGGATGCCTTCTGAATAAGCCGGTCAAATGACTGTTTTTTGGTTTTTTTTTCTTTCCCAGAACAGCTGATAAGATAGTTTTCTGTTCCTCACATCTAGGGTCCTGTGTGGCTGGTATGCATTTACAGGAAAGATTGGGGTGTGGTGGGGGGATGGGGCAAGAGAGATGATAGAGGAGCTGTTCTGCAATCTGTTTGGTTTCTTGGGCCATGTATATCATCCTGATGCCAGGGCTCCTAAACTCTCCATCCCAAAGTGACAAGTCTTGGACCCACATTTCTTTACCTGCCATACCACAAATGCCCAGGCAGTCAGTCATAAGCACTCATGGATTCTGGGAGGCCAGGAATGCCTTTTCAGTTTTGTCACCAACTAGCAGTTCCTCTTGAGATAATTGTACCTCCACTCTGGACCTTGGCATTGTTGTCTGAACAATAGGGAGATTGGAAACTAAGACCTTTTTTTTGCTTTTGCTTAGATATCTGATTCTGTGAAGCTTGTTGTCCTGAGGTATATGCCCTTGAGTTTAACATTTCATCTTCTAGAAATATTAAATAGGAATGTCAGTACTGGTTCATCTTTTTCTTTTCCTTCCCTTTTTTTTTGGTATCAGGGATCAAATTCAGGATCTTGCACTTGCGAGGCAGGCACAATGCCACTGAGCTGATTCCTTAGCTACATATTATTCTTTTCAAACAAATGCCTCTACTTTATTTTCCTCAGACATATTGTGCCTCTCAGCCATCTATCTTAAAACTTCTGTGGTGTGTTACCAAAGTCTTTTGAAAAGTCAAGAAAAAAATATTCCTAAGTGAAACCAGCACACAGTTTATTAATCCAATTGAAGAGCCCTGGTTGACCAGCCAGGATTTAGCTTTCCCTACTGGGGTGAACTCTCACATCCTCTGTGTTTCCATTCCTGGGTTCTGTGGGTTCTATCTGACTTGCCCTCCTGGGAAGTCCTCCAGTAGGGATCGCCCCTCTAGCAAGCCTATGGCCATTTACAGCAGGCCATGGGACAAGTTAGGCCCCAACACCAAACCTGTCTCGCAGTCATTCAGAGGTACTCAGAAGACTGTTCACACAGTTTTTAATAAGGGGTTGGACTGGTGAATCCCATGTCCTGAGAATGCAGGTCAGTCTGACAGATCCTTTTCTGCTATTTCTTTTACACTGAAGTAGCAAGTTCATTCATTTCTGTGCAGAGTTCATGTGTGTATCTTAGTTACTCACACACTGCAGTGAGTTTTCCTGGCTTTTCTCTCTGCATAATGCCTCTGAAAAAGAGAGTTGAAGGGAAGGATGCAAAAGCACGCTCTAGGGCCTAGTCTCCCTGTCCTCTGACCTTCCAAAAGTCTGAGTTTTCTAAAGAAACTATTGACTTTCTCTCCACCCTATTACTTAGGCAGCTTCTCAAAAATTCTAAATTACTCACAATTATAAATTGGCAGGAGGCAGAGGTTCCTGTTTAGTCACTCTGCTCTCTAGGGACCTAATGCTGAGCACTGAAACCCAGGAAAAAAGTGGTTCCTTCTCCCCTCCCAGGCTGGCCAGCAGCACAGGTAGGGAGGAAACCATGAGAAAGATAGACTGGGCATCTGTCACATGCTCTGGGGACACATCTTCCGTGGGCTGCTTCTTTCCTGCAGAGGTCCATACCAGGCAGTAAAAGGAATGTGAACAGCAGCTTTCTTAGGTGGGCAGCTGAGGAAGGGACCAGGCCAGTGGCACACAGCTGACCTGCTTTCTTTAGGCACAGCATGCCCCCCCATTTATTCAGTGTTGAGATAAATGGTGAGAAAACTACTGCCAGAACAGCTCAGGATTCTTCACAAGTGCACTGTGGGATGACTTTGTTCTTATAACTTGCATCTTGGCAGAAGGGATTTTTTTGTAAAATATAACTGCAAAATGATGTTGTAAGCATATTCCTTTGCTACATCTAATTTTAATGAATAGGCTACAACTTAAAAAATTGTCTATAAAAAATATAAATCACTAAAATCTTAATGGTTTCATTTTAGAAGCTGGCTGTAAAAGAATCCGCTATCTCAGTGGAACCCTCACCTGTGTTACTTTAAACAATGACAATCAGTTAACCTAGACAGTAGGGTGTTCCTGAGTTAAGGCCTCACCTGGTGGTAGGCACCCAGATGTGCTTCCTAAGTGCTCTTGCACAGGGGCCTTGACAGGAGTTGTGAGTTCAGCCCTCATCTTATAGCTTCGAAGCACTGGCCTCACTTTTCTCACTTGTAAAATGGGTATAATAATAGTACATACTTCTGTTATTTTGAAGGTTAGATAGCTTTCCTATCACTGGAACAAAATATTCAACACCCACAACTTAAAGGAGGAAAGGAGCCAAAATAGGCTCAGAGTTTACTGGGTTCAGCCCATGGTCTCCTGCTGGCTCTAGGGCAGAAACCACAGGGCAGAATGGCATGGCAGGGAAAGCTGTTTGCTGCATGGCAGCCAGGAAGCAGAGAGAGAGAAGGAAGGAGTTGGGGAAGAGAATACACCCTTTCAGGTCACAACCAGTGACTGTCCCTCCAGCCAGCTCCACCTCCGAACATGAGACTTTTGGGCACATATTAGATGGAAACCACAGCATAAGGAAGGCTTAAGCATGTAGTTGGCATACAGTAACTAATAACAGCTAGAAGATAGTTATTAAAGTATTTCTGCTTTCTTGGCAAGTTTTAGTATATTTCTTATGTTCCCTAGAACTGTTCATTCTAAGAAGCACGAGCATTCTTTGTAGCCTTTAGACTTGTCTTTGTCTTGTTCATGCCATGAACTCATTTTACAGGGACAGGGCTAAGGGTACAGAGCAATCCTGGGCTTTGGGGTAACCAAGTGTGTTCTTGCATCATTTTTTTTTAACAAAGCAGAAGATAGCAGCCTCATCAACAGGAATACAAACTTCTTCTTCCCTTCCCTTGGCCTGGCATGCACTTCTCCATCCCTTTTCTTTCTGGAGCAGATTCTTAATGGACTCTTGATTGCAAGTGGTTTCTCAGACTCCCCTGGAAACATAAATCACCAGCTGACTGGCCTTCTCTCCGTGAGAGCTGGTTCAGGACCTGACAGAGCCAGAACCACACATGGGTTCATATCCCTCTGGGATTCATTACAAAAGTTGGGTAATCAGCCAGCAGGACTGGTTTTCTCCAGCTGTCTTTCTTAGGTTGTGACCTGGATGTTATCCACAGTGAAACTGTAGAATGCAAAGATCTAGGTTTTCCATGACAGCATCAAGCAGTTTGTTTCTGGAAATGCATGTAGGGCTCTTAGTCCATGGACTCCCCAGTGACTTGGGCTTGGGACAGAGCCATTAGAATGAGCTCAGATTCACTCATTCTGGCTTGCTGGGACTGTCCCACTGGGCTTGCCATAAGGCCGGGCTGGCTGCCTGCTGTCTTCTAGTCTTCCCTCATGTGTTGCTTTCCATCTTGTTGGCTCTCATGCTAGCTGCTCCCGTCAGCATGCGTCTCAGTCCAAGAGGATCACAAGCTTCCCCAGCAGTCTGAGCAGATAAATTGCTGTGGGCTGAACTCTGCCTCTGCAGGGTTGGACTGTACCCTGTGGTCATGGGAACTGCTCTTCTGGTGGTGCCCAAGGGCCTGGTGTGTGGAGGCTCAGCTTTATCAGAAGTGAGCAGAATGGCTGAGAGTGAGTGACAAATAATCACATAAGTACAGCTCTGAATATTTACATGAGCATTTCAGGCCTCTGAAAACCTTAAGACATGGATGATACTCTTCTAACCCGGGAAGTCACTGCAGAGAGAACCGCACCTCCTATGAAAAACTGGGTGGCAGCACAGTTACCTCTTAAGTTCATTTATTATATATGGATTCCCAGGAGCTTTATGAATAGAACAGCAATAATTCTCTCAGAAGACAGCCCCCGCATGCAGACTAAATCTAAAAATACACATATTAAGAAAATGAGGTCAATATTAAAATACTTTTAGAATCAGTTCAAACTTTTGTCCACAGCTCTAATTTCAAACCAGTATGCAGAATGATGGTGTATTCAGAGAGATAGAGGCCAACCTAAGGGACTCAGGTTAAAAAGGTTCAATCCCTGGTATCAAAAAAAAAAAAAAAAGCTCTACCATTATTGTAAACATGCATTGTGTCAACATGTGATGTAATCTGCCCAGATCAGGAAGCAGAGGTCAGAGGGTTCGCCACTGTCAATGCTGATGGCAATATCTCCAACCTCTGCTTCCTGATCTGCTCCTAGAAGTTACCACGTCACATCTGGCACTGGTCCAATTTGTCCATAAACTCTTGAAACTTTAAAAGTCTGCAACTAGATTCTGAGGAGATAAAAGTCAGAAGGAGCCGCAGCCCTTGACTTTAGTGCTTGTACAGTAAATCACAGGCTTCTCATAAGGGCTCCCTGCCCGTCTTAGCCACCAGAAGTTGCTGCATTTGAACAAGTGTGTATGCTGCATTTTACTTCTTTGGCCAGCTTAGTTCAAATTATCAGTCACTACTTCTAGTAACACTTCTACCAGTGCACAGGGGGGGAAAAAAAGTTGTATAGAGCTAAATTTGTACAAGTTGAAGAACTATCCTAGTACATTCTTCACTTTTGTATGTGTTAAAATATTCTTTCTTAACTGGTTGAGGTGGCATATGCCTGTAATCCAGCACTCTGAGGCAGGAGGATCACAGATTTGTGGGCAGCTTAGCAGGACTATCTCAGAATAAAAAGGGCTGGGAATAAAGCTCACGTGAAGGCCCTGGATTCCTAGTATTAAGAAAAAAAAAATCATTGATGAAATGATGACAAAGAAATATGGTTATTTTCAGTGTCCTTAATGTTAGTAATATAAAAAGACTGATTTCCCAATATTTGGCTGATCACTTAATTGTAATTTTTATTTAAGGTTTTCAGCCACAAAATTCCTTGTAAATTGTCATATATGTCTGTTCTAAGTGTAAGCACCTTACTTGAGCCCCACCTTGGTGACATAGTCGTTCCGTACAGTCTCCAGAGTCGCCACACATGACCTCAGTCCATGCCATGTGCTTTGGGATGAGAACATCTCAAGGGCCACTGTGCAGTGTGCAGTGTGTCCTCCTCATGGTCTTCATAGTATCTGGCTGTCTGCCTTGGGATACTATGAAAGAGAAAAGGTTGATAACCTCACAGATAGCTATTAGGACCACTCAAAGGATGTCAGCTGTAGACAATGATAAAAATTAGGAAAAGAGGGGTCAGCACACAGGTCAGTGTTAACTAGTGGGCAAGCGTGGTACCTACTGCTCTGCATCCATGAGAGGGGTGAACCCAGACCTGAACGCACATCCCTAAACGTGCCGTACCTCTCCTGGAAGCAGAAAGCCTATGGCCTCTGCTTGGACGGCTCTTTGAATTGTACTTATGGCTGCAGCCTTTCCTCTGCTCACAGCGCTGGTGCCAGCTGGCAACCTTCCCATGCCCCAAGCTCAGGCTACCTCTGGAGCCCACCCTGCCTTTATGCAAATGGCCAAGGCTACAGCCCACCCACATCCACTTCCCCATATCCCTCTGTACCTGTCCTTTTCTGCACTCTGCCTGCTTTCTCCCTACCCAGCCTGGCTCTTCACTGTTCTGCAGCCAGGTGTGGTTGGAAACTTTCAGAGCTCTGCTGCTGAGGGAAGGTGGGTCTCCAGACACCTCAAAGTATATTATAGCTGATGGATTCACCACCTTCCCTGTGTGCCTCCCAACAAAGAACCATTTCTGGGCCAGGAAGGGAGTTTTTAGTGGAGGCAGTGAAGTAAAAAGCCAAGTCATGGTTTGGCTCCGTTGTGAATATCAGCTTGGTAACACTGTGGCCGCTGTTTTATTGGCAAAAACTGTCAACTCCTAGGATTCATTTTATTGATTGAAGCTTTTTCTCCAACTATTTCAAAACCTTGGCAAGAACTTCCCACAATGGCTTTGCTTAAACATGTAATGTAATCGTATCACTGTAGTTTCTCATTCACCTGTTCAATCAACAAATATTTACTATACACTTACATCATTGTTCTAGGCTCTGGGACACAAAATGCTGCAGAAAGTCCTCTGTCACCACTGAGCTCATATTCGAGCTGGTGGGGACAGTGGATTACATAATATGCTAACAGGGACGGGTGTGATCAGCATCGGGTCTACCCAGGCTGCTGGCCTGTGGCTTCTACCCAGGTTGCTGGGAATAGTAGCAGATGGCTTTCTTTTGTTCTTGTCCTTCAAAGATTTTCTTTGCAAATGGAGGTCTTGTTTGTGTGACTTTGATCTGGATCTGTCTGAAGAGGAAGCAGGGGTGCAATGCTCAGGACTCACCCACTCACTTACTTCACGCAGTGGGAGCGCCCTGGTGACCTCACAGTGGGGCACTTGGCCTTGTCTGTGTGTCAAGGTGACCAGCAGCAGAGACGCATGGCAGCGAGCAGTGAGAGTGTAGCACTCTGTGTGACTGGCCTGGAGGGGAGCGGGGTACAGAAGGCCAAGGACAAGCTGTGAGGCAGCCCAAGCATTCATTCTTCCTTAAAGACTACAGAGCTGCGGCTCGGCTCAGACTCACTCAGTCCACATTCCTGGCACCCAAGGCGCCTGAGTCGGTCCTCTTCACCCCAGGAGCACACTGCTCGCTGTCTCTCAGACTTCAGTACCAGCTGAGACCATGAAAACATTCTTCTTTCCACCTAAAGTTCTGTGATAGCCTGCTCTCTGGTTTGAGGGCAGTAGGAAGTAGGTCAGACGTGATTTCATGGCTGGTCTTTTCCCAGTCAGTGCTGAATGTTGTGAAGAAGCAGGAAGGACTGTGACTTCTTTTCCCAGTGGGTTTTGTTGTTCACACCTTCTGGGCCATGGGCACTGGGACCCACAGTGATAAGGCACAGCTCCCAGCCAGTTTTGAGTTACATCCAAACCACATTCGCAGGTTCCCTGCTGGCTGAGGAAGCAGCTGGAGATGAACATGACTCAGGTAGCAGAGTGCAGAGATGGCATGGAGAGGTAGTGCCTGGTGAGGGCCAGCATCATTGGGGCTGTCTATAGCCTGAGGAGGCCTCTGAAGAGTAGTCCTTGTGGCTAACCATGTTTCATTTCCTTTTTCTTTCACCAATATGGTTGAGTCATGTCCTGGGCTGACCGGTCAGTGACACTGGTGTCTTCTGACCCTCTGGAGGCTGTTAGCGAAGACAGAGGGTAGGCAATGTCCTATAAGGTCATGAAAATGCTACCTTTTCACAGGGACACTGCTCTCCCCCTCCAGACTTTCAGGAATCTAGTGGTATGAAAAGGCATAGGTAGAAGAACCAGAGTGACAGGTGTTTCTGACAGAGATTAAGGTAGATGAGGTTCATTGTGAAACCCAGTACAGTTCTTGGGATTTTGCTCTTTCTAGCACTGCAGGCTGGATGTGGGGATGCTCCTGTCATGCAGGTCTGCACTACTTGCTCTCCAAGAAATGTGGGAGGCCATTTATTTTGATGGAAAGGGAAGATTTATTCAAAGCTAGCTCCAAAGGACATGGGAGGGGGGTGCTCTCATTCTCCTCAAATCTCCACCTCGCCTTAAGTGTGCAGCGGTGACAGTAGATCAGGGGATTCCGTGTCATTTCATCTCCATGCTATTCTGTGCTCCTCCTCTCCCTGTGGATAAAAACCTTAGCCCAACTTCCTCTATCCATTCATCTGAGCTGAGGAGATGGTGGCCTATCTCTGAAAGAGAAATATCCCAGTTTTTACAAGATCTCTTATCCTCTTGATTACACTACAACCCTCTTTGCAAATATCTATGCTACCATGTGGCAGGAAAGAGTTCAGCAAATTGTGCATCATTGGTTTGTGCTTAATTTCCAGCTTTTCTCTTAGAAAATAGGACTGCAATCGCACCAGCTTCCTACATGGTGGCTGGAGCATATTACCAAAAAAGATAAAGTAATTATAATCCACACCCATCCCACCCTACCCCCAGAAAGTAAGTGGTCCCTTCTAGGACCATCCTGTCAGTCAGCACAGCACAGAGCTCTCCAGAGCACTGAGGGCTTCTTGCCATGGTGGCTCCAGTCTTGGCTGCTGTCATTCTCCCTGCACTTCCTCCCCACTCCAAGCTGAGCCTGAACAACTTGGCCAGGCAGGGTATGGTGCAGTCGGAAGAAAGCAGATGCCCACAGCCTACTGTCTACCCTCCACGGCACAGTCAAGCAAGGTGGAAACCTGGCCCTGGAGGTTCAGATGAATGGCTTTGCTTCCTGCACTGGGACTCTGAAGGGGAGGGCAGTGTCACCTGCAAGGACTCTCGAATCACCAGACTTTCTGGAATTCCTTGGTATAAGAGCTGTGTCTAAATGCCCGGAGAAATAAGTTTTGTAATAATTAAAAACATTTTTACTGTTAATTTTTAGGTATCGGGGATTGAACTCAAACCCTCACATGTGCTCTCAAGTGCTCTACCACTTTGCTGCATCACTAGCCCTTTTCTGTTTTGTTATCTTGAGACGGGGTCTTGCTAAGCTGCCCAGGCTCACCTTGAACATCAGTCATGCTGCCTCAGCTTCCCAAGTAGCTGGAATTGCAGGTGTATGTCACCACATCCACCTATTTTTTCCTCTTACCTGCAGACCTGCTGTTGTGTCTCCCTGTCAGACCTAGTTCCTGGGTTTTCATGGCACAGTCTGGGTTAATGAGAGCTCTGGTGAGTGCTGAGAGCAGAGGCCACTGTCAGGGCAGACTGCTGAGGCGTGGGGCCCCCCAAGTCTGTCCAGCCAGCCTGCCTGCCTGGGGCAGCATGTGGGTGCTGAACCCTGTGCCTTGCTGGGGCAAATGCACCATAGCCTTTCTCACCCTCCTACGTGACTTTGCGGGGGGCTCACACTGCCATTGGGGTTTTGGACAGACTTCGAGCATGGCACCAGATGGGACCTGGGCTCCCTGCTGTCCTCATTCAGTTAGGCCAGTAGCAGACAGGCCAGAAGAATCACGCCTGTGCCAGTGGGAAAGGGAACATGTAAGGGAGGGATGTGTTCCTGCCTGGGCTTTACACACTGCAGCTGGGGTCTGAGGCTATTAAAGTAAGGAGATGCCTACTTCTAATGGGATCCAGAACAGCCACATTCAGGTCATTTCCTGTGTCCTATAACCAGCCAGAGCGTAGCACAGGGTGGCAGGGCCAGTATGTGACAGCCAACTCCCACTTTGTCTTCTGTCCCTGGTATATTAAACTGCATTCATTTACACTGAAGCCACACATAATGTGTGAACACTTTGGACTTTTAAAGGCAAGTGTAGTGCTCTTGCCCTGAGCCTGCGCGAAGAGCATCTACCTCCTCCCCTAGGGGCCAAGTCCTGCATAGGGATGCCTGCTGGAGACCTAGTGGAGTGCCTGGGGTCCACAGGGCAGTCACTTAGACCTTGAGGGAGGACAGAGCTCACTGTGCCTCAGGTGAGGCTGTGTGGAGGGTAAGGTGGGGTGGCAGCAAGATGAACTGGAGCTTGTCACAGGCCTTAGGGTTGTCATTTTGGGTCACTGCTGCATAAACATCTATTCAGCTGAAGAGCAGTGATTCTTTTCAGTGGTGCTAAATTGGAGCCTATTACCCTTCCCTTTCCCAAAATTATTATACCCTTAGAAATATTGTACCTCCCCACACCCCTGCAATGAGCAGACCTGCTGGATGTGGTGGTAACTCCTGAGATCTTAGCTACTCAGGCTGAGGCAGGATTGCAAGGTTTTGAAATAGAAGGGCTGGGCTGGGGCTCAGTGGCAGGACTCTTCCTACCTTGCTGCTGACTAAGGGCTCGTGCTTACACACTGAAGAAAGCAGTCTGTGCAATGCTTTAATGTTATTAGGCTGCTGGTCTCTTTTCCAATTTTCTTATGAAATAGAAAATATTCTAGACTTTAAAATCCACAACCACTGTGGGACTCTAGATTAGTTCATTCTTACAGGTGAAGAATCAGACAGGTAGGAAGCTTTTCTGAGGTTACAGCCCACAGGGGAAAGATGTTTGATTCCAACCTGACTTTACTTCAAGGTCATAGGTCTTAACTGACTGCACCACTTCATCACTTAGCAAGTCTCTACTGCTGCTGGTTCATGTCCTTGCCTCGTGTGAGCACTCCTGCTGCACGGATCTAGCTTTTGACTTGAATCCAGACCTCGAGACTGCTGGTTCTGGACCCTCCCCTTCTAGAAAGAAACTGGCTTCCTTCCCTACCCCATAACTTCACAGAACTGCTAGTCTCCCCTGCCTGTGCAGAAAGCAGTCTGGGGCTCTGGGTTGGCTCTGCCTCTGTGATCACCCATCTGCAGACTCTGAGCAGTCCCTGGGGATTCCTTAAGTGGGACAGTAGGTGAAGGGGTGACAGCCAAGCAAGAGGACCTCCCTAGACAAAGATGACTGAAAGTTGTGATCTGTGGCCTGCAGTGCTGTCCCCGGTCTTCACCTCAGTGTCACAATTCCCATCATGTTTGCTGGGCAGGGAAGTTGCTAAGTGACTTGGAAATAGCAAACCCTGAGGATTTCTGTCAAGGAAAAGACACAGAGCTGCAAGCCAAGATTTGTAAGGGTGGAATTCTATCCCAAGGTATCAGAAAAATAGGACTTTTGAGTTGTGATTTAGTAATCTTGTCATTTTTCAAATAAAAGTTTTTTTTCTGCTACACAGGAAAATAGCATCTTTCTCTACTAATAGCATACAGGTGAACAAAGCCTTTACAGTTTCACTGGGTAAGACTTGGGGCTGAGGGGTTGCCTTTTTTGTTTGTTCTTTTGTTTTTTGAGACAGGGTCTCACTATGTAGTTGAGACTAACCTGGAACTATGTAGCCCTGGCTGGTCTTGAACTCACAGTGATCCCCCTGCTTCAGCCTCCCAGAGTCCTGGGATCACAGGAGGCGTGAAGCCACCACAGCCGGCTGGGGTTGCCTTTTTTACTTTTGCATTTCAGGTCTGCTGGTGCGGGGAGCCAGGGCCAGGCCTAGGCTGACAGACCAGGGTTCCTGCCAGGCTGCACAAGCACCTACCTGACACCTATGTGTGAAATCTCGCACCTCAGTTGCCTCTCCTGAGACCTGAGACCAGGCAGGAGAAAGAGCTCCAATTTGCTGCATTTCCAGTTATTGAGGAGCAGTCAAGCTGTGAGGAGTGGAAGGAAGGATGCCGCTGTGACAGCAGGACGGAAGCAGGGCTTATTAGTGTCTACTCAGGGCCAAGCTGACCTGAAAGCATCCAGACAAAAAATTGTTAGGAAGTTTGTGATTTGTCTATAAATAGATCTGTAAATACAGAGATCTCTGTGTGAAATTCACTGTTGGCAAAATACTAGCAGACACTTCTTGTGGGTTTATTTGGAATGCTGACAATCAGGTTAAGTCTGGCCCTCTGCAAAGCACCTGTGTCTCATATTTAACCAGGTTTCAGTCTGATGCTCCTGTGAAGAGTTCCCTTGTGCCAGGGCCCAAAAGCTAGACAGAAAATATTCTAAGTTTTGCAGGCCATGTGGTCTGTAGCAGCTATCCAGCTCTGCTGTTCTAGCACAAAGAGTCCAAATGAATGGTACTGTGTTCCAAAACATTACACCACATTTGGCCTGAGGGCCTTGGTTTGCCAGCCTCTGCCTTAAACCCAAAAGGCAATGCTCACAGCAGTACAGCCCTGTGCAGATAACCTGCTTTCCCACAAGAGAAATCATTGATGGAGTCACATTTCAACATGCAGATATGTGGCTGAAAATATTTCTTAAGTGGCATTTTTTGCTTGGGTCAGATTAGTTGCATAAAATGGTCCTGAACACTTTCTGTTGTGGAACAGATGCTGTTGCCCAGAACAAGCAGCAGTTAACAGCAGATTGCAGTGGGTACTGTGGGTTAAGCCATGGAGCTTCACCTGTTTTCTCTTCTGTCCCGCAGGCCTGTTCCTCATCCTTGGTCTCATCCTCTACCCTGCTGGATGGGGCTGCCAGAAAGCCGTAGACTACTGTGGACACTATGCATCCGCCTACAAACCTGGAGACTGCTCTTTGGGATGGGCCTTTTACACTGCCATCGGCGGCACAGTCCTCACCTTCATCTGTGCCATCTTTTCCGCACAAGCAGAAATTGCAACCTCCAGTGACAAAGTACAGGAAGAAATCGAAGAAGGGAAAAACCTTATCTGCCTCCTTTAGTGTGGAAGAGACATTGATGCCACTGTTTTTCCTTTGTAATCTTGTGAAACAGTCGTCGTATGAATCAAGTGGAAAAATAGCCTTCACCTACCAAAGCCACATTCCACAGCCCCAGCCTGCACAGGACCTGTGAGGGGCAACACTTGACTAAGCACAGCTACTGGACAAGGGCCACAGTGCAAATGATGCGTGACAACCTGTACCATTGTGTAACAAACCTGACTGCAGTTGTGGGGGCTGATCAGATCCCATCTCCCCAGGGCTCCATGAAGGATAAGGATAATGACCGGAATCATGAAGGCACCATCTTTCTGGCAACAGGAGACTTCGTTGGCCACGAGGCTGGCAGGCCATTTTGAGGGTCAAAGAGGAAGCTTCTGCCTTGCGGATGCATGTATGTGAGCATCTTTGCCTCAGAATGAGGTCTCAAGTTGGCCTGGTTTTCTTCCTAGTTCTTTCCCCTTGTTTCAGTTGGAGACTAAACAGATGATCACAAACTTACTGGGGAAAGGATGTGTGCCAGTGGACCAAAGGGTTCTCAACGACCATGTGGGACTTACTCTAGGCTGAATTCCAGGGGAAAGTAGATCACGTCATCCAGACTGCCACTCCAAGGTGTCAGAAACGTTTGAGTAAAGAGACACTGAGGGGCTGTACAATCACATGAGAATAAAAGCTTAGATGTTGGCCAGATGAGGACAGTTTCCTCTTCCAGCAGCCAGGCTAGCATACATGCAGGCCCAGCTGCCTCTTTCTTTTAGAACTAAGATTATGCTTTGACTGTCAAAGGAAACCTGTTTCCTTCTTCCAGGGAGAGTGGGCTTCACACCAGCTGTGAAAGTCAGGTGCTCACAAGGAGGAACTGCCCTGAGGGGACCTTTTCTGTTTGGTGATCCAGCTTTAGCTGGATTCCCAATCCCTTTAGCAAAAGGAATGGGAAACTTTGCAGGAAAAGGGAGCTAGTGATGGTAGTTAAGCTTCTCTAGTCACTGGTGGCATCCTGAAAGCAAACTGAAATAACATTAAACTGCTGCAACCGAGTTGCACCAGAGATTTGAAAAGCAAAGAGCAGAAAGTTTATGCAAAAACCCAAGCTAGATCAAGTTCACAGCATCTGCCTATACCTGTTTACAGAAACACTCAAAATACCACTGTTAGAAAGGATTGAGGAAAAAAGAAAAAAAGATCCAGGGCTTTTAATGTAGTTTCCATAAGTTAGCAATATAATTGATCTGGGCAAGTGGTAATCAGAATGAGCAAAGGTCTGACATGCGCACAGGGACCGCAGAAGGAGAACTTTCCTCACCCACAGAAGCCAGGAAGCATAGGCCTGTCCATTGTCTGGGAGTCTCTTTGGGTTTATGAATCTGCTCACAGAGGGCTTTATTTTGAAAATATAACAGGTACTAAGCACCTTCTACTGGGAAGGTATTTTGTGGTAAGTACCATCAGGTATTCAAACTTGACTCAGAAGTTACAACTTTGCACCAGTGAATGATGTCAAAGCTGTGTGAGTTAGAACCATAGGAGGCAGAACAAGAAATAAATTGGGGAGACTAACTTTTTTTTATTACATCCTGTTTGGCCTTTGGCCTGTAGCAAAAACCATCTTATCTCACAGGTGAAAAGGCCAAGGGCAAGATATGAGCAGATCTTTTAAACCAGTGCTCGCTTTTTTCAGAGCAAGAAGGGTTAACAGCCATCCTTCTAGAAACCTAGGTAAAGGCTCAGGAAACATTAAACCATCTGTCTACATGAAATAGGCCATGGGAGCCACTGGGCAAGACTCCTGTGCCTGACAGTGCTTTATAATGTCTAACTGAGTCCCTCCACCAGCCAGATAACTACTTTTAAACCTGAGCAGTAATTTTCATTAAAAGCAGTTTCCTTCATCGGGCAAATCTTGATACAACTTTTTCTTAAATTTCTTATTAGAAGATTAACCTTTATAAGAGAGAATCCATTTTACAATCTCAGCTGCCTCCTAGGGACAAGTCATAAGCCCAGAAGACCCTATGAATATGTCCACTGCCTGCTTCTTGGCAGAAGTGGCAGGGCTCCCCTAGGTCACCCTGTCACAGTGAACCCATCAATGGCAGTCACAAGTGACAGTGGGACCCCTCAGCCAGGGCAAAGTCACTTAACAATGTTCATTAATCTGAATGATACAGAAGACTAAGAAGAAAAAGGCACATACACAAACCAAACCCCAACCCATTAAAAAACTACCTGAAAACTTAGTGTAACAGAGGGAGAATGAGTCTTCTGCCACAGGGATAGGCATTGTTGAGTCTCTGAAACCTTCAGCCCATTAGTCAGCCTTTCTTTGTGATAAGACTGTAATGATACTCTGGACCAAAACTCTTCTGCAGCTCTTTAAAAACCACTCGATCTACACTTTCTAATAAATAGGACCATTACTACTCCCAGAAAAGCCTATTTATTTTGCCTGCATTTGTGCTTAAAGTTTTGTGATGGGCTAGGCATCTCAAAGCACTCTAAGGCAGAAATGTTTGCCTTGGAGTCTGGATTCTTTAAACCTGTGTGCTAATTCAACAGTGTAACATTTAATTGTGTGAGGGTTTCTGTGTAGTTCGCAAACAGCTGTGGTGTAATGACCCTTGTTTCATGTATCCCATAAAGTGCCATAGTCTTTTGTTTAATGTGTAGCGTATTTAAATATGTATATTACATACACAAGTTTTTGTGAAAGATGTGCAATAACAAAGGTGTATGTATATTCTTTTTTTTTCTTTTGGAAACTGGACAGGAATCAAAACAGGGATGTTTCCTGTTTTGGCAAAGCAGAGTTACACATTTTTGCCTTCGTGGCCCACTTATTAGCCCAAAACAATTTTAATGCTACATGAATCTTATGTGAAGAGAAGACTGGTATGAAAGTTTTTTCCTGGGTCTAAATTATAATAATTACTCTATTTCTGTGAAAGTGAAGCCAGCAAGCCAGGCCCAGTTAATGCTAGTCTTTCATGTGAAATGTGAAGCTGCGTGTTGCCTTTTCTGTTAGTGTGACTATCGCTGGACCATAACTACGGGCGCTGCTTCTTAGCCTGCTTTCCTGGATCCTGTTAATGCTAGGCCACTGTGGAAGCACTGCCCACATGCCTTCTTAGCCTAAGTCTGGCTTTGGACAGACCTTCGTGCAATAACGCCTGGCCCCGGGAATCGCTGCCTGCATCTGTTTAAGTAGCAGTGACGCCCTGCAGGCCCAGAGTCAGAGATGGGTCGAGTTTCTTCTGAGACTGTGGTGGAGCCCTTTCCAAGGACGAGGGAGTCCTCAGGTGCTCTGGAGGAAAGCTGCACCACTTGACATTCAACAGCCACTTGAGCCAAACAAAACCTGTATTACAGCGATGGACTCAATTTGAGCCCTCACATGTGTGGTTACCCTGTTATACTGTAAACTAATACATTGTCTAGCATTGATGAGGTTCCCATGCCTATGTATTTTCACATTGTGCTCCCTCCCCCTCAGATCTGAATTAAACCAGATCTTATAAACCTATTCCTGCAAGTCTGAGAATACTGGCTTCAGTATGATGTGCACAGTGTGATGGAGAAAACACCTATCAGTCAAAACTGAAACACTTATTAGGTCAATGAAGATAAAGATAACTCAAGCATTTCCAACTATTCTATTACTAATAACATATATCACATCCTTACTACAGATTATCTTTTCATTTCTAAATAAGTAATATTTCTTCCTTGGAAAAGCATTAACATAAATAGAAAAACTTACTACACAAACATCTTAAAGCTACACAAGATATGAGAAAGCTTCAAAGTATTTCTTTACATTAGTGATGCAAAGTTGCCCGAAAGATGTTTTTATTGTTTTTTTTGTTACCGGGGACTGAATTTGGGTCCTTGTGCTTAGCAAGGCAGGCGGCAGAACCACTGAGCTAAATCCCCAGCAAGATGTTCTCTTTTAAGTAGCTGGGTGTGGTAGCCTGTATCCCAACACTTGGGAGGCTGAGGCGGGAGAACTGCTCCAAGTTTAAGGCCCGCCTGAACTACAAAGTAAGACCCTGTCTCAGTATTTTTTAGAAAAGCCAAGTGAATGGAGCTGTTCCACAACTACACTTCCGCAAGGTAATCCTGCCTTTAAGAAGCCTCACCGAGAGTAAAATTCCTCATCTGTAAACTCAAAGATGACAGTAAGTACTCTCTTCATAAACTCAACCAACTCTACATCTCATGAGCACTTACTGTCTGGTAGAATAAACAAAAATGGTGTTTGTTCCCTGGCCCAGGGCTTATGGCAGCTTAAAGTATATTTGACTTCTGGCAGGTTTCTAATAGAAATCAAGGTTTTAAAAGCTGAAAAAACTACCCAAATCACCAAAGAAAGTTTTCTAAGCAAATCAATCTGAATAGCCTAAGCAGAACTGGAAAATTTCCATAGCTTTTTCAGGCATTACTTCATGTTTTTCAAAGGCATCCCCAGGAGAAAGGTCCTGACTTGGAGCTCGGCAGGGGCCTGCGACCCTCCCAACCTTAGCTTTGACTTGACTGGCCAGGCCGTGCTCTGGAGCAGCTTTCCAGTCCTGGATCCCCTTGGTCAGCAAAACCCATGGAAAGGGAGTCTTTACTGGCCTTGGCATTCCTCTCACAAGGCTGTCACTTCAGGAGTTTCGATCAATACCCATTTGACCTTTCCACACTAAGGAGAAGGGCATCAACACAAAACACTCTTCAGAGCGGCAAGACCACTAACCGTCTTCGTGGCACAGCCCTGCAAGCGGCTTGGTGTCGATTCCACTGCTGCCCCACCACCTTGCAGCTTCCTCTGCTTGCCCTGGAGAGTCCTGTGAAAGAACACTTCAACATGTGTATTACTAATTTTGCTTAGGTAAATAGCGTACAGATAAAAGCACAGAGCTACATGAGAACTCAATCAAATATCATGTAGCTATTAGCAGCTCTGGCTTTTTATAGCCAAGTATCCCACAGAAGCTAACATCCCCATGTAAACAGTCCCAAAAAGTCCTAGGCTGGGGGAAACCACTCACATTCACAGGAGAAGCAAGTCCAAGTTCAGGTGTGGTAGTGAAGGCAATGCTGGGCTGAATTAGATGGTGGGGGATGCATGAACACAGTAATGGGGAAGGAGACTAGAGTGACTGCCGGGTGTCAGTGTAGTGACAGAGTCACCCAGATGAGTCCAAAAGGAGCAGGGACAGTGCAGAGTGAGAAGGTGCAGTGTGGGGTGCTGCTGGAGATGTCCTGTGTGTAGCTGGGGACAGAGTGGAGAAGCCCAGATAAGAGTCAGACTTGAGTACCACGGATTGTGCGTCTGTCTAGATACAGGTGTGAGCACATGGAGAGATCCTGCATGTGTCTGGTTATTGTGTAGAAACGAGGGTAAGCACTTCTCATTCCTTGTTTATTCACCAATACCCTATGTAGTAAGAGCTATTATCCTTACTCGGGACCTTGTGCTTACAAAGCAGGAGGCAGCACCACTGAGCTAAATCCTCAGCCCTATCCTTCTTTACAGATAAGTAACTGTCACATAAGTCATAGCTGAAGTTAAGTCATTTGCCCTAGATTCAAAAGCTAGTCAGTGTCAAAGCAGGGTGCAAATACAGACTGGACAACAAATACCCATGCTGTTCCCTGCTACCTAGAATGATAAGCAAGGGATGGAATAGCCAATGTAGCACCACCTCGGGTGCCAAACAGTGCCTTAGTGTGACTCAGGAAAGACACATCACAGAAGCCCAACTGATGAAAACTGCTTTCCAGAGAAAAGCCTAGCACTACTTTTTATATTTTTATTTCTGTCTCATGGGGGATTTAAACCCAGGGCCTTCACACTGATCTACATCTCCAGCCCTTTTTTGAGACAGGGATTCACTAAGGTGCTAAGGTGCCCAGGCTGGTTTTGAACTTGTGATTACATAATATGTACCACCACTGGCTAATTTTTCATATTTTGGAAGATGATGCCATTATTTTCTATTCATCATCCTTCCAACACACTAAAAACCCAACAGGTACATGACAGAAGGAGATGATGGGCTCTGACAGTTTTCATTATTTTCTTAGTATAAGCAGCTATTATGTCACATAAGAAGCATATTTAACCTAATAATTAAGGATTTGTCCTTCACAGAAGTTTCTCCAAACATCCAAATGCCTAAGACCACTTAGCACACAGACTTCTGGGGATGATTTCCTAGTCCTCTATAAAAACAGGGCTAATCACAGAAATTACTTTATAAATTCAGTGTAGTCACAAGTATATTTTAAGTCCTTAATATTAGAAGAAAACTAAGAGAATCTGTCTTTCCAGATTAATATCATTTAGGGCTGTTTTGAGAAATTAATTTTGTGAGGGGTAACAGAACGTCATCAAAACTAATTTTACCTGGAATGACTCAGCACATTAGCCGCTACCTGAGGCCACCATTTCTTTTTCCACATAAACTGTTCAGCTGATCACTTTACCTTAGAGCTTTCAGGAAGTAGATTTCTCTGTGGATACAGGATATACTCCTATTTAGCAAAACTACACATACATACACATATACATACATACCAGCAATGCGTGAACTCACAAGCATGGGAAACCATAATGCTTAGAAAACAGACCTCCTGGTTATTTGTCAAAACTACTAGCATAAAAAGGCATTCTGGAAAAGGAGCATCCAGTATTGGCAAGGGTATGGATATGAGACTTGTACATAGCAGATGGGGCAAAAATCAGAGAGCAATCTGGCAATCCATATCAAAGGTCTTGACAAAAATATGCACACCAGTGACCAAACACTTTGTCCCAAGGAAAGGACAAGACGCTTAGGCTGCTTTAGTGACAACGTATTCCTTGATAATCATTTATGACAAACCTGAAAATCCAAATATAAGAGAATAAGAGCAATTTATGGTAGCTATATAGCTACCAAGTATTACAGAAATATATTCAGAAGTAGGGCTAGGGATTTAGCTCAGTGGTTCCAGCACCTGCCTCACAAGTGCAAGGACCTGAGTTCAATCCCTGGTACCAAAAACAAAACAAACAAATATATTCAGAAGTATGGTAAGTGAAAAAAAATAAAGTTAAAATGCCTCAGTGAAAGTAATGAGAAAACAATTCAGGACAGGTCGGGGAAAAAGACAGTAAGAATATTATGATAGTGGGCTGGGATAAGATGAGCAGCTGGGCCTCCAGAGATGTAAAGCTGTGAAGATGTCTTCTGTGTCCCTTCGCATGTCTGCTTCCTCCTTCATTCTCAGTGCAGACAAGCTTTCTCGATAGTTTCTCTTCTGTGGCAGAATATGGCCATCCCAAAGGTTCCAAGTCTGAAAGAGTGTAGTTCTGGGTCCCTCTACATAGAATGCAAACCTCACAAGGCAGGCCTGAGGGCAGGTACTATGGCCCCATGACATCTATACCAGTGTGGTCTTTGGGGGGGGGTCCAAGAAAATGAGTCCCGAGAACTTGTTTAGGGAAAACATCCCTAAAGTATCTAAAAGAGGTAAAGGGAAGTGTCATTTCTTAGTTTTTGTAGGAACTTTCATACTAAAACTAAGAGGAAAATATAAACCAGACTAACAAAAGCTCCTCATGGGTATACAATTAAAGATCATTTTAGTTATCTTCTTTCACACACAAAACAGAACATTCACTTCACTGCCACATGGTAGCTCCCATGTTCCCTTGCCAGTTGAAAACATGAACAGTGATAATAAAAATTCTACAGGGCTCTGTTAATCCCAAACCATAAAGTAAAAATAAAATGAAAATACATGGGAAGGATGAGAAAACAGCAGGTCTTTTCCTATTTCTTTAAGATGGTGGCAAACCTACAGAACATGTATTATTTGTTTTTTCTTTTAAGACAGTGGATATTAATGTATGAGTTATTTTTCCTACACTAAAACCTCAATATTCAGATTTAACTGCAGTGTTGGCACTCTGTGACAAATGAGTGGGTTTTGGGTTGCAATGTGGGCACTCAGAAGCAGGTTTGCTATCACTGCCTTAAGATCTTTATAAATTAGAGCTCTCTGCTTATACATTAGTGACATTGTGAATACAACACACAAAATTCTAGTGGAAAGCCTTCATTTTCCATAATACTTGACCACTGACAAACACCTTTGTTAAAGAAAATAGTATTTTAAGTAAGTCTTAATGTTTTAAAACATTATTCTACAGTCTAAATAAATTTTTACTATGGTATTTTAAAACTTATCAAAGTGACCCCTTTGCTATTTTTAACCATTCTCAATTATTTTTAAGTTAACCATTCTTATTTTGCCTCCATAAGTTTAATCACATGGAATCAACAAATTCCTCTAAACATTCTCCTTATGGTAAAAAATGGAAAGATATGTAGGGAAGTGGTGTATGTCACTATACTGATTCTAAGCTACACATAGCAGGGGAACGTGTTCAAAATTTAATACATTCTATAAACAGTCATGCTAAACACAAATTTTACCAGTACAGAGTATGCTGATGCCAGCATTTTCTATTAGTACCAAAACACTGTGCCATTACAAATCACTTACAGAAACAACCAATAAACCTAACCACATATATCCCCATAAAGTACAAACCATACTTTACCTCAACATGAACTATAGGATATTTTCCTACTGAATGAACAGTAAAAAACTCAAACTCACTTTTTTTAGGTAACACTCAGAAAAAAAAACAACTTCCTACTTTATTCCAACATATATTTCTCAAAATAAGATACATCATGAACATGATTTAAGATTAGACTTTTATATCTTCGTTAGCTGGTCAAGTAAAAAGCCTAATATACAAATAGGTGCTTTCATTGGTACAGAGGAGAGTCACAGGTAAACAAGGTTAGGAAGAGAACTCAGGTTCCATCAAATCAGGACCACACTGGCTCAGAGGCTCCCATTTTAAGTCATAAGGAAAATGTTTTCATTTTACATCTAACTTCTAGACCTTAAAAGTGGTCAAAATATTTAGTAGGAATGAAGCTCATGTTCTACCTATAAAGGTCTTGTTGCACCAGAAAGAAAAAAACTGCCATTTTATGTTGCTGAGGATTTTTAACTAAATCTTTTATATTCTATCAAGGACAAAATTAGATTGTTTTTTTTAAAATGTTGGTGAGTATTATCACTGATTAGAAACTTTTAGATATATTAAACCTACAGCAAAATTTCTGCACTTGAATTGCTAATAAAGTGTTTAAAATTATGCAAACATCCATCCGATAAACAGTATTTTATTTTATGACACTGTGCATTAATACAATAAATATACAAAACTTCCAAACCACTGAAAACATGCAACATTAAAGGACAGATGGAAGGCATTGGTACAGAACCATGACAGTCACCATGACAGCAGTGCAGTATACTCACCTACAAAATATACAAACATCTCCAGATCAAGAACCAAGACCCAGATTACAAATCACTGAGCAAGAATTTTTTTCCAGTGTTCAAACTTTAGCTTGAAATAGAATAGCAATGATTTAATAATGCAAACTGAAAGATGATGTGGATGCCTATGATATGAAAACCATTTTGTGATTGAGGTACCACAGAATTTTAGTATTACGTATGAAACACTAACAAAAGCCAATCTTTTGCTGAGTAAAAATTAGCTGTTTATTCATTATTGTTGAGACTAGTGAATAGGAGAATTGAAAGCTGTTTTCATACGTAATCGAACTGTAGGCACTGTCAATGTGTAGGCAATGCACATTTATGTTTTAAAAAAACAATTTTCCCTCTCAAACTTGTATTAACCCAGGTAAACTGAAATTCAAAGGTTTTTTTTTTTCTCTGTTTACACAGAAAAAGACACTGTGGGTTATAATAATTCTTTGCATTTAATAATTCTTTACCTTTGAGATTTCTACACAACAGAAACACTGCAATTTTTAATTTATTTATTTTATTTTTTTGTATGGGAGATTGAACTCAGGACCTTGCACTTTCAGGGCAGGCAGCAGAACCACTGAGCTAATCCTTGCCCCAATGTTACAATTTTGAAGGAAAGAATATCAATATTTTTCAAAAGTCTTTGACAAATCTTTTGTTATTATTTTGGACTTGGGATATAAATTAGTGGCAGATACAATGCTCTTGTTGCATTTTGCGGTTAGTGTTTTGAATGTTTACAAAATCTATACTCAATAACAAAGTTTTCACTAAGACTATGGGATCCAAAGAACCATAGCTGCTGGGTGAGAATGTAGGTGAAGATTATCACTGATTAGAAATATTTATAAGAACAGTTTTAATTCACACTCTGAATCCTATTTTGGAAAGAAATACTTTCCAACTATATTATTAATAAAACCCCAAATAAATAAAATGCAAACACCATCTGGATGATCTGTGTTTCCGAGGCGCACACAGAGCCCCCTCCTATACAGTAAGAACTTGACCTCCCGTCCTCAGCATGAAACTTACTTTAACTCCAGATTGGGAAGGAGAATAAAAATGATTTATTCCATTTATGCCCATTTGACTTTTTTAACAAAAGATTTTTGTTCTCAAACAATACAATCCAATATATCAACTTTACTTAAAATTGAGCTACATAAATCACTACCTATCATTCTGCAATCATGTTATCTAAAGGCTTTTCAAAGTTATCATAGTAGCATGATTTAGAAATGCTTTGAGTCATTTAATCAATATTAAAAATGATTCAAAGTTTAAACCCAAGTATACCTAAGAATAAATTCTGTGCTGCACAGTAATGATTTCAATGTGATTATGTTCATAATTAATGCTTTTAACAGTTTATGTACTTTCTTGCTTGGTACAATATTTTGATTTTTTTTTTTCTATTGTGACCAATTTAAATGTATTCAGTCTATCTCAAGAAGTGAAAGACATAGGTGCATTAGGGATTCAAGTATATTAGAAATTCTAAGGTCTTTTTATTTTTAATGCCACTAGAAATGAGAGGCTAAAGGAAAAATTCTTTAAATACTGTATATTCTTTTTAGACAAGATTAGGGTAGCCTTTAATACCTCTGTCAAAATTTACACACGCACGCGCGCACACACCCAAAATAAGCTGCCAAACACAATCTCAGTTCAATTAAAAATAGTACCCACAAGAATATACTAAAGTTTCCATACAGTAAAATTTTACTGTATGAATACTGAAAACTAGAGATAAAATAAAAGGAATTATTATTCTTACACTCAATTGCATTAACTAACTACCTTCTCTTTTGGATAATGCACTGCATATTACATCAAAGTCATATATTGTACCCCAATACATTTTTATTTAAAAGAAACTATTACAGAAAATCACTTCTATGATCCATAAACAACCCTGATTCCTATTAACTATACGCAGTACAGAACCCAAAATACTAATTCTTTTAATTTAAGCAACATGTTGTCCATGCAAGATCAGAGACTGTTATCAAAATATCAACTACTCTTAAAAAAAGAAAGTAAAAGACAAAATATACATCACCTACTGCGAAGTACACAGGCTCTCACTGGTGACTGAAACTGATAACAAAGCAAGTCAATTTAAAAATGTGTCTCTCTGCTGGCCTATTTCTTTCAAAATAAATAAGAAAGAAAAAAAGAAGAATGTTTTCTTGTGTCATCCTTACCTTTAGACTTAAAAGAACAATTACAGTTAGTACTAAGAATTTTTAGATCATAAGTACCATGTTAATCTCAGTGGGTCACCACTAAAATAATTTGATGAACACCATCCCCCCAAAAAAGATGGTGAATATTTATTTAGCATGTAATATTCTTCTGCTGGGGTACTGAAAAATGAAGAAACTATTTGGTAAAATAAGACGAGGAAGTTTTTCTGCTTTTAGCCCATGCACATGTGAACAGGAAATACTCATGCTGTGTGCACTGTTTCCAACATAAAAACATCTGCAGAATACAGTAACTGGAGAGAATGGTACCATCAGAAGTAACAGTGTACAGTGGAGGCCTCTAGATCTGGTTACCCTTGAAAGCACTCTGAGCCGCACTCGTTGCTGCCGTTGAAGCTGCATTTGCAGCTGCAGTCTGGACAGTCTTGTTGGACATCACACCCGTTGCAAACTCCTGTTGGGCCTTCTCAAAACTAGCACCTGTCGTGCGATACAGTCCGTGTACCTGCAGAGGCACAAAAGAGTAAGCAGTGAGTGGCAATCGGCACATCATTTCCAGCAAACTTGATCTCAACAATACTCAGAGATAAAATGACTGAATTCTAGTCATGATTTCTAGAATTACAAACATTAGGCAGTACACAGGTACACATTTATATTTAAGTAGTCTCTTAATACAGGTTTTTCATTTTCTTTCCCAAGCTGAAGAGACAATCATGCCAATTCAAGCCAAAACTAAACAACAATCCTTAACCAACTGCAAAAAGCTGTTTTCCTCTGCATTCCATTAAAATATTACAGCACTACCACAGAATGGTTTCAATATAACAAGGGACAGTCTGATTAGCACTTTATCTATCTCTATGCTGGCTACATACCCAGCACTAACACTATCATAATGTGATGGTATCATTTATCATTTCCTTAACCAAGCACTATTTATATTCTTAAAACATACTTCTGGTATCCACTCTGTGTATTATTTTGCTTTTTCTCTGATCAAGTTCTAAAGGATTTATGAAGAAAGTCTATGGGGAAGAATTCTCTGTCTATACTGATTTATTACTCAAATCTCGCAGTTTATTTTCATGAGTAAAGTTCAAAATTTTTCTATGACCATAAGCTACATAATCAAACTATGAAGCTTATCAATATATTATATGAACTACTCAATTCAACACAGATTTAAAAGAGGAAAACATGACGTAAATTACATGCCCACAAACTTTGGGGTACATCTAGAGGAACAAGTGAGCCAGTAATTGCACTGTAATCAGACCAAAATTAGAAGCCACACTGAAATTTAATCAAAGTGGGTTCTGGGGAAGGGCCACGTGCATTCAAGTCAGTGCTTTCTCTGACCCTTCACTCCCAAACCTGGAAAGAAACCGGTAATGTGGAGTGCATGTGGAGCAAGAAAAGGTAGACCAGGTCAAACACTCTCCAGTCAAGCTGGAATACTGGGGAATGGTTTCAGGAAAACAGAGACTAGACAGGTTCATTTAGGGTAAATATTCATTCGTTCTAACAGTGTCAGTGTCTGAACACCTAAACACCTACTCCTGGCCTGCCACAGCAGGCAAGGAAAGATCTGGTTTGGAGCTCAGAAGAAAAACAGACCAAAGACATAGACAGGGAAGCCATTGAGAGACTAAATGTCTGTGTCTTTTCCCAAATTCTTGTGTCCAAATATTAATAATACTCAATATGATAGCACTAGGATGTGAGAGTCTCTGGGAGGCAATTAGGTCACAAAAATAAAACCCTTTGTATGTAATTATAAAAGACCCCAGAGTTTTCCTGCCTCTTCTACCACATAAGGACACAGAAAATAGCTATGTCCCCACCAAATATCCACTGACCCCATTAAACACCTACACTGCCAGTACTGTGATTCTAGACTTGCTAGCCTCAGAACTGTAAGAAATAAAATACCTGTTCTTTAAGCTACTCAAATCTGTGAGGTATTTGTATCATATCCCATAGAGACTAAGACATCATATAATAGTAGCTGAAATCTTGACATACACGAGACCATCTTCAGAGAAACACACAGCAGAAAGAGAATAAAGTAAAATACAGAAACCTCTTATGACACACACACACGTATGTATCTTTTTTTAAATTTTTGTACAGGGATCAAACTCAGGTCCTTATACTTGCAAGGCAGGCTGCGGAACCACTGAACCAAATCTACAGCCCAACAGCTATATTTTTTAAAGCAGCCAAAACAAGAAGCAACTGTTACAAGAATAGGACAAGCCAGGGATTTTTCACTGACACCAAGAGAAACTATGTCAAGAGATAAAGCACAATTTGCTATCTGGGTAAAAGAAATATCTGGACTGCTAAGTGCTAGTAGCGAAAGTCAATTTTGCACTACTGTGGATCAGAGTGTATGACAGTCAGCAAGAGAGCATTGCAAACACCCATACTGAGAAACTAAAATTCCTTCCCTAGTGTTCAGCACTATCATTGAGTATAGAAATATTTTTATTCCCTTTCCAAAACAAGTTTTCTATGGAAAATAAAGGACACAGATAAATTACCACTCCTATGTCAAGAAACTTATCTTACACTGAAAACAAGTAATTGGAGCCTAGAAAATAAGATATATTACGGAACTCTGATACATTTTAATTTAGTAGATGCGCTCTCAATACAAAGCAACTACAAGTTCACTTGTCTGTCTTCCCCTTTTCCCCCCAGGTATTTGGGCATGTAACTAATGCTAGTTCTAATTTGCTTGGTTATTTTTCATTTTGGGTAGCTGATGTTACCTGTTCATAGGCTTCAGAGTTTAACTACTTAAAATGTCACCGTGGTCCCAAAGAGCCAAATAAAGTAGAAGAGCCCACATTTTTCAACTATCTGTATCTATACAGACCCAGAGAGCCACCTAGCGGGAAAAGATCATGTACGTATTTAATGTATAATGTTCAAATGCTGTAGTTTGCCAATGTGAAAGGGGAAAATTCATTTCAGGGTCTTATGAAAGATGATAGGATAATCATGAGATCAACATCTCAGAAAGCTTATTTGCCTCCTATCTTTAAGAATAATTCTTAAGGACAATTTGCATTCTTTAGAAAATCAAAGTCAAAGTCGTAACAATGATTTTAATTTTTTAAAAAATATTTACTATCTTTAAATACTTGCTATTTGTACTTGACATCTTTTCTAGTTGTGAGAAAAATGTATTAACTTAAAAATTTAGTTCTAGGAATATCACAGAAAGGGCGCTTGATTTAGTGTCTACTAATTCAACTGCTTTCTAGCTGGTTGGACAGCACTCAAAATCTCAAGTTTAATTCCCATAAAACAAGAATGGTTGTTACATCAGCTTCTCAGAGATTCCTAAAGATCAAATCAAAATCCTAAGGGAGGAAATAACCCTAAGGATTATAAGGACTGATAGGTTAACTAGTATAAATTAAAATTAATTTGTTTTTTTGTTTTTTTAATTGAGACAAGGTTTCACTGTGTGACTCAGGCTAGACCTGAACTCACTATGTAGGCCAGGATGGCCCTGAACTTACAGCGATGCTCTTGGCTCAGCCTTCTGAGTGTATGTGCCACCACGCCTGGCTAAAATTAATTTTTAACTATCTGCAGAAATGTCACAGCCAAAATGTAGATGCACTTTCAGAACAAAATCCAATTCCTTACTGCATCTTCCAAAGTAATACACACTTTGGTGGTACATGACACCCCAAAACTGTACATTATGAAAAGTATATTTAAAATAATCCAAACATGTTTGTATTAAAACTTCAAGAAATCATGCTTTTATTAATATAAAAATCCCTGACATATCAAAATTATTTTAATTTTTATAAAAGCTGGGAAAATAAAAATGATCTTTTAAAAATTTTTTTGAGCTCTTAAGAAACGTGTAGATCTCTAGGCCAAACTTTTTCAATTCAACATTTTCTAAAGACCCTCTATGAATTCTCCTGTTTAGGGGCCTTGCTTAGAAATCTTTTTTGTAAACTCTAAATTACCACTCAAGTCCCACTCTACCAAAACCCACTCACTACCCTGAAGGTCTCCATGAGGCTACACTGCTCTGTCCCCTCCAGGGCCAGAACTGGCTGTGGTGCTGCCTTTGTGAGTGGCCCTGACACTGCGTATCTCAGGACGGTGTGCTCTTTGATGTCTGCTCCCACTCGCCTGTGTTCCATCACCTGAGGGCAAGAGTTGTTTTTCACTCACTGCTTCACCCCCTAAAAGAGACAAAAGAGTAACTTACAGTAGAAGCCACTGAATCATTATTTGTCTATCTGCTGGGACTAAATGGACAAAAATTGTCCTGTTCTTAAAAAAAAAAAGTTACCACCAGCACTCAGGAGGCAGAGTCAGAAGGATCACTCTGAGATCAAGGCCAGCATGAGCTACATAGTGAGTTTGAGGCCAGCATGAACTATGTAGCAAGACCCTGTCTCAAAATAAATAAACAAACAAACAAACAAATAAATAAATAAATAAAATATTGACAATGTGAAGTAGGAAGAAAAGGGCTAAAAGTGTAGGGAAAGTGGGAAGAGTAGGGGAAAGGTAATAAGGGAAAGAATAAAAAGGAGAAAATGAAAAAATGGAAATAAAATGTTTGTAAATGGAGAGGGGAGAGGGGTGAAGGGAGGGCAGGGACAAGAGGAAAAAATGAGAACCAAGACCTGTCATGTAAACGTACAAGATCCCAATAATGAATGTAACTGTACTGTATACCTAAAATGTACCAATAAACTCAATGAGGAAAAAAAAGAGTTACCATACAAGTGCAATGCAGTTCTAGCACACTGTGCCTGTCTTATAATTATAATGCTACCTTTGCTGTTACCTCTGAGGTTAAATGTTCTAAAAGTGAACATACTATTTCATACCTACTAGGATGGCACTACTGAGAAAAATGAAAATAAGTGTTGATAAGAATGCAGGAAAGTAATATGGCACATCCCCAGAAGGAGAGTTTACAAGTTTCTCAAAACCCTAAGCAGAGAATTACCAAGCGACCATGTGGTAATTCCACTTCCAGGTCTACTCAGAAGAAGCAAAAACAAGGACTACACCAGCATTCCTAGCACTGTAGCTAACAGGTGGGAAAACCAAGTGTCTTGTCTGGGGATATGGCTTGGTGGCAGAGCAAGCACTTGGTTCTACGCCCTGGGCTCAATCCCCAGAATCACAGAATCAACAAAGCTGCCCATCAACCATGAAGAAACACATGATAGGAAGTCTATACATAATATACACAGTGAGTGCTGTTCAGCCTAAGAATGAATGGCCTTCTAATGTGTGCTACAGTGGTGCTGAAGCTTGGAGACAGCATACTAAATGAAATAAGCCAAGTACCAAAGGAGTACAGTGTGATTCCACTTACATAAAATATCTAAATAGGCAATCCAGAGAGGCAGCACGTACTTTAAAGGTTTCAGGGGCTGGGAGTAAGGATAGAGGGACTGAGCAACAATTACACTGCTTAACAATTACAGAGTTTGTTGTGAG